TGGTGTTATTCCGAGGACTGGTTTACGTTCCAAACGATAAAGAGATTTGCCGAGAGATATTGGAGTTGTTTCACGACTCTCCACCGGCTGGACATCCTGGATGTGCCAAAACCTTAGAATTGATTTCCAGAAATTATTGGTGGCCTTCAATGACGAAGTATGTCCACGATTTACGTAGATGGCTGTGATAGATGCAGAGCAACGAAGATTCACCCAACGCAACCACATGGTCCGCTTAAACCAAATGAAATACCAGCGGGACCTTGGCAATCAATCACTTGTGATTTGATAGTAGATTTGCCTAAAAGCGAAGGGTTCGACTCTATTTTTGTTGTCGTTGATCGATACACAAAACAAACGCACATCATGCCTACGAAAAAGGAAGTTGACGCTCGAGGAATCGCGAAACTTTTCTTAGATAACGTATGGAAACACCATGGAACTCCGAAACAGGTGATATCGGACAGAGGGACACAATTTGTTTCCAAGTTTATGGGACAAGTGTCGAAACGCCTAGGCATAAAATGGAACATGTCAACGGCTTATCATCCTCAGACAGACGGACAAACAGAGAGAATCAACCAAGAAGTAGAGCAATATCTGAGAATGTTCACGTCTTACCGCCAAAATGATTGGGTAGAGCTTCCAATAGCAGAATTCGCTCACAATAACTCTGTCACTGTAACGGGTCATAGTCCATTCAAAGTACTCTACGGATATGATCCAGAGTTTACTTTTTCACCAATTTCCAATTCTAAAGTACCTGCAGCTGATGAACGAGTGGATGTAATGAAAGAGGCGAAGGAAGACGCAGAAAGTATGCTGCGAATGGCGAATGAGCGGATGAAGAGATTCTACGATAAAGGAGTAAAAGACGCACCACAATTCAAGAAAGGAGATCTGGTCTGGCTCAATGCCAAAAATATCCGTCAGAAAAGACCAAATAAGAAACTCTCCGATCGATGACTTGGTCCGTTTGAAGTGCTAGAGAAGACGGGTGATGTAAATTACCGCCTGAACCTTCCAGCAAAATATCAGATTCATCCGGTATTCCACGTAGAATTACTCACTCCGCATTCCCCCTCGACCTTAGTCCAAAGACTTCCACATCATCGTCCGCCGCCAGAGATCTTATCAGAAGGCGATTCCGAATGGACAGTACGAAAAGTCCTAGACTCGAGACTGCACAGATCAAAACTCCAATACCTAGTAGAGTGGGAAGGATATCCGATAGAAGAAGCGACATGGGAACCTGAGGAAAACCTTGAGAATGCACGGTTGAAAGTTCAAGAATTTCACCGGCAAAATCCGAAGGCATTGAATCCCCGCAAAATTAACAAATCGGTGTTCGAAACCCAAGAGTTTTTGGAATGGCGCAAAAAGTTTATCCGCCCTAGTTTCATTCGCGATGACGCTCATCCTAGAGAGGGGGTAATGTCACGAGTTCCAAATACAAATCATTATTCGTTCCTAAATTCTAAGTCCTTTAAGCGCCCAGTCACAGCGCCTGTTCCTAAGAATATGTTTACGGTTGAAGAAGTTCCTATTATTGCATCTATTGTAGAATTACCAGAGTCACGTGATCTATCGGACAAAGCCGAAGATATTGATGTCATGCCCCGCGACACTCTTAAAATGTTCCAGAGTCTTACTGCGGCTGCGGCACATGTTATGACGTCATAGTTATATATAGAATCGTACGATACCTTTAATTATTCTGATTGGTTAGTTAGTTCATACTCAGTTTCAGTCTCAGTTTCAATATGTGTATATAGGTAGCTCGTCGTAGTCAGTAGTTCTTTAGTTCAAACCTCTTGTATCTCCAAGTGAGCAATCCAAGACGTACCTGCTGCCTTATCATCTTTGTGATTATCTTGTTGTTTGAGTCCTAGTCTCTGCCCTGCGTTAATTCGTTTAAGGGGTTGTGACAATCAGATACAAAGCTCGAAAAATTTCCCTGGTGGCCTGAGCTTCATGGCTGGTGGTGGACAAATCCAGCCTTCAATCATGCCTTCTCTACTGCGGACGCAGGGCAAGATTTTGCATCTGCTGCGCTGGAACATTTCAATCTTTCCAAGCACCCAAAACCATTGGCTACAGTCGACGATGATGCTCGCACGGATGATGATCCTGAAGATGGAGAAATAGTTGAGGTCGGTACTTGCAGTGTGGATGATGGTGCCGTTGTAGATGTGACAGATGATATGCTGGTCGACCAGCCCCCCCGCATAGAATCACAATCCTCCTCGTCACCGCTGATACCTTTGGACTGTGGTCCTAGCAATACACCTGACTCGTTCTCGCTGCATCCATTGCCACCCTGGTACCAACGACCTCAGCTCCCTCCCATCTCAACTTCTGATGCACCTGGAGTGGTATCATTGAATTCTCCTGAGCGCTCACCAGTACGCAATCGAAGTGCCCCCGATAATCCACTGTCTGTTTTTTCCGATTTCAAAGATTCTTCACCTAGCTGTCAGTCTACACCTATCGACTCAGAAGACTCGGATATTGGTGCCAGCCGAGCACTGCGGTCTCTCCGTGTCAGCTCACTTAAAGGAAGTCGTGAAAGTTCACCTTCTCTTGCCGCAAAACAGTCTCATCCACCTACTCGAAGTGCATCACCTCAGTTTAGTCGTCCCCCCTCTTCATCACGCAAACGCCCTGGCAGCAGTGCCCTTGACCAGACCTCTGCCGCTGCAGAAAAAATGTCCCAAACGGCAGACTCTCTAATGAAGCACCTCGACAGCAAACGTGAGGGTCGTGCCGAGCACGAAAGCTATAAACGTATGAAACTTCAGGGCGACATTTGGGCTCGTGATCTCAAGGCCCGCAGTGCTCGTGATGAGCGGGAGCATGCAATGCGTCTTGCGGAACAAGACCATCTCCACCAGCAGGAGAGGATGACTCAACAAATTGAGTTTGCAAGACTCGAGCTTGAGCTATCTCGTGCACGTCGAGAAGAGGAGGAGGCTCGGATTCGTCGTATTGCCATGGAGCGTGGTTTTGAATCAAACTGAAGTAGGTCTATATTACCACTCGTTTTTAGGACTTGGAAATGCATACCATCTTGTACTCGATCTCAAGCGTGACTACACACAGCAAACGCTACAGGTTTGGGATAAGCGCTTTGAGTTCGCCGAGCTCAAGTGCAAATTTCCCTCGTTGGGTACTAAGGAGGACGAGGAGCTTCTACTTGACAAAGGTTATGTATGTACTAAAGAGGACGAAGAGCTTCTACTTGACAGAGCAACCGCGTCTTTAGCGTTGCTCCAACGAGGAAAGCAACCGCGTCTTTAACGCGTTGCGAAAATCCTGCCCTGCAGTTCCAATGTAGGTCTGATCACCTACCGCACCACCCTCTTGCTGATCATCCTCTCCTGCATCACCATCAGCTCGCCTCAACCTCCGAGTTTGCTGATAGAAACAGACATTCGTGTCCTCATGGTTGGATTTTTCCTCGATTTCGATGATTAGATTGTGCAGAATGAAGCACGAATGGATCCACATGTTTGCGTAGTCGAGGTCCTTCTGACTTTGGATTGGGATGCGAAGCTCCCGCAGTGATTGGAACCGGCCCTTGATAGAGCCAAAAAAATGTTCTGAACGAACACGGACCTAGATGTTGGGTAAGGACTATGAATGTATATTGCCATTCCTACTCACTGTCGATAGGTTATAGTTGAACGTCTTTTGGTCCGGGGTCAAACACCCTCCCGGTGGCCGTTTATACGGTGGCACACACCAGGTTCGTGCAGCATATGCTGAGTCCGCCCACAACCACTCTCCTGCACCGAAAAACGACTCGGGATCCCGGGAAACTCTTGTCCGCGCAAATACGTTTGAGTCGTGGAGACTTCCAGGTACACCGATGACATAGTCCACGATACGAAGGTTGTGAGGGAATATAATGACCTTTTTTGATTGTAAGTCGCTGCACTGCACATCGAACTGACACTTACCTGCGCTGTTAGAGAATAGTCTGAATTTTTGTCGAAGAAACCCTCCCCGTGCCAACCTGGCTTCTCGTGTAAGGGAGACGGAGTCCCATCGACACAAAGGAAGCCTCCATGCCATTCATGACACGTCCTACTTTCCACGTAAGTTTTCGCCCGCTCTCGCTCAATTTGATCCTCGTGATCAAGTGAATCAAAATGAATGGCCCGGTCGTGAAGTTGCAGGATCGCAATCATCACACGTTTATAGCAATTGTAGACGGTCCCCACGGACACGCCAGCCCAGTTGGATATGTCTTCGGTGGTTGCAGCATTGCCATAATGGCCAGCGCCGTTGAGAAACATGGCGAGCTGTATTGGGACGGGGAGTTGGGGGTTATTCGAATTATTGTAGAAGATGGCGTGTCCTTGAATCAACTTTGTAAGTTCTTCAAACACATCCGCATCAACACGGAGCTTGCGACGGAATTTTTCAGGTGAGAATAGAGCCCACTCCTTCAGCAGGTGTAGCTGAGGCGCGCGACTCAGAGATGGACGGAAATCAAGGACCCGACATTTCTCCACCTCGTCGTGGAGTGCAGTGATTGCATCGGCAAACTGAGTAAAGACTCGTTCGCACATATCTGGGATGTCACGCGATAGGAACTCGGAGTATACAGTTGAGAGTGACATCAGAGAGTTGTCTGACAAGGCAGAGGTAATCGACAACATAGGGGACACTGGGGATACTGGCCATGTTGGTGATGCGGTCCGTATACTAACATCCGAGCCACTACGGCCATTGGCAGCGCCATCAGATTCCTTATCAGAGTCTTCATCGTCGTCTTCATCTAATAGTTGATCTACCATAAACTCAATTAGTTCCATATAACGTGCGATGGTGAGATCATTGCTCGTTTTTTTGAGACTACGAAGCAGCTTCTTTCGATCAGATTCTTGGGGCATACTAGATGGAGTTGCAGAACGCTATAGCAGGTGCCAGGAGATGATGGTCACAGTACAACGTTTAGGGTTTATTTGTCAGCGTCGGAGCGTCAATAATACCGGCAACTCGCAAATCTTTGACCTTTCAAAATTCTACGAAGTTAACTTTGAGAACCACTAATGAGCTACAAATGACACAGGTATGACTCGTGAACTAATCCTAAAACATTAAGTACAGTGGCAACTGTAACCAACCGCCAGTCAACAGGCTTGAGCTGTAGAGGAAGTAGGTTCGATTCATGGATTGCGTTATACGCAGAAAAGTCGCCGACCATGCTATCTCCACTTCATCATGTTCAACATTTTAGTAAATGCGCTTCCAGTCTTGCGAGGTTCCGGAGGAGGGAGTTCCCTCACGAATATGTTAGTACCCACGGAAGACGTTTCTCCGTGTCTCGCCCACTTTCGAGCCAGGTCCACCAAGCGCTTTTCGGCCCATCGCATCACCATGCTTTCTTTTTGCCAGACACCATTCGTCCAGATAGCAAGGGGGCCGCCAATCCTCGCACGAGCGGATGCATCGCTCGCAGATGAGGCGAAGCCAGAGCGCATTCTGTTTGCCATGATCACATCCGTAAATATACGGTCCCCGACTACAACTAGTTCGTCGTCGGGGATTGGAACGCGAAGAGACGAAAAGTAGGTGCGTATCGAAGCAATGCAGGAATAACCAGGCTTAAGAGTGTCGTGTCGGAGAACCGGGACAGAGAGGTGAAATGATACCGATTCTGCCTGTGCATGTTCAACTTCTGACTATGTTTGAAATGGTGGCCATACCTGGATTCCTCCGGCATCGAATTTGGTGCCAGCGGAATTACTGACGATGATTATATTTTCTTCCCCGAATGCCTCACGACATTCTCTCCAGGCGTCCTGTAAAATAGGTTTTCAACATCTGACTGAAATTTATGACCCTTTAAACTCACCTCGAGCTGTGGCACAAGGGTGTCTTGATGCGGGATCGTCTGCTGTGTGTTCAGAAAAATAGAGACGCCAAAAATCTTGTGACTAACCAAGCAATTGTCTTTATCAAAGACTGCTCCTCTATAGCCTGCATTTCGGAGTGCCAAAAAATCAATTTGACGAATATCTGTCTGTGGTTTAGCGTTAGTTGTAGCCATGAATGCAGGAAGCTAGGGTGACCTTTGACTGTTACATGGGGAATAACAAGTCGGGGATTTTTGAGTAGGTGAAATGGAGCAAGAATGCCTGGGATGTTCAATGGCATCGATAGAAAAGGTGAGAAGACAGTCTGAATGCATGAAAGCTATGCAACATTTGACACCCGGCAAACGCCGTGGACTGCCCAACTTGTTACCCTTTAGCAGCGTTAAACCTATCTGTCAAGTTCAGGCTGCAGCGTATTCGGAAACATGGACGACGACTTTGATTTTGACCGCGCAGCCTCCGCCTTTCCTGATATCGACCTGGACGGGCAGGGTGACGTACACTTGCCATCTGCCCCCGTGGCGAGCAGTGGCTTCTCATTTGATGATTTCGAGAATCCACTGGGACAGACCGAAGTGAAGGTCACAGGCGATGATGAGATTGAGAAGTTCGAGGATCAGTTTCCAGAGCTGAACATTGGGCAGGTAAGTAGTACTCATGGGTAATTGGATTGTATTAATGTGTCTCTTTGCTCTGTAGCCTGTATCTTCTCCCCCACATGCCCTTCCAACTTTTGGTGCTCCTCCTCCATTTGCTCCTCGTCCACAGCCATCAGCATTTTCGTCTACGCCCATCCTCAACCAACAACTCGATGAGGACGAGCCTGAAGTTATCAGGTACATCATCAAATTGTTATATATGAAGTTCATCGCTGACAGTTGTCTAACCAAGGAAATGGCGCGAGAGCCAGCTAGAGGAAATCCAGGCTCGCGATGAAGCCAGTAAGGCTAAACGCCAACAAACTATCGGGAAGGCCGAACATGCTATTGACCAATTCTACGAGGAATACGCAGCAAAGAAGGAGAGGACTATTCGTGAAAACAAGTTAGTTAAACCTTGTCCAACTAGACGAGTTCCACTGATGGGTTTTTCAAAGGGACGAAGAAAGTGATTTCTTGGAGTCACTATCCTCATCTCTTACCAAAGGGACGACTTGGGAGCGTATTTGCGAGAGCGTAGAGCTACAAAATTCCCAGAGCAAAACAATCGCAAGGGCTGGTCCTGGCACCACTGACCTGTCGCGGTTTAAAGAAGTGCTGTTGCGTTTGAAGCGTGAGGGAACTGCTGCTCCCGGCGCAGCTGGTTATTAGACATTACGTGTTTTACATGTATATACCTCTTGTTTTAATTTTCCGGACTTTTCTCTCCTTTGAGACTGAACACACAGACGAAATAGTAAGCAGTAAAAGCTGTGTAGTATCCTCAGAGCCTGGATGAAATGTGAGAATACAGGTGTGCCTCCACCCAGGTAATACACTCCTCGGTGAGTTTCTCCTTCACGCCGTCTGATTCATTGTGAAGTTCGTGATAGCCACCCTGGTGAAACATTAACCTGCAATTTGCAGCAGTGACATCGCAACTGCTTACTTGGTAAATGGATATTTTCTTATCCTTTGCTGGTACCCGCTGATGAAAAAGCTCAGAAGCTTTGGTAGAAGTTACCTGCGACATATCAGAGCTTCTTAGGATGAGGTATTCTACAAGACACGAACCTTGTCATCCGAACCATGTATGAAGAGGACCTGACGACATTCGTGAATGGTACAGAAAGGGAACTCGACTGAAATAACTTACAGGGAGGTCTGTAGGCCAAAGAGCGTAATCAGTGTGCAAGAGATGCTCGCCCTAAGAAACTAGAGGTGAGATGTCAAACAGAAAGACATGACAATTAATTACCCCGTCTAACATGTCGCTTACTCCACGAAGCGACCCAACTTGCTTAACCAAAGGATCTTTCGCATATTCCTCGCCGACAGTCTTGTCATGCGACAAATTCTACGACAGTACATTGAGCTATTCATATCAGCAAGGAGAAAAAGTTGTGAGTACCCGACCCTTGACGTCAGATGGAATAGTGAGCCAGGGAGCTAGCCGGCTAGCCTTGCCACCTATCCATCTTGCTGCTTTAGCAGCTGGCTTCGTTTGAAGGATGAGGGGGCTAGTAGAAATCACGCCCGCCAGGCCTGTGACTGTTTCCCTTGCAGGGGGACTACTTGCCCTGGTGCAAAATGCAAGTACTAATGCTCCACCCTAGAGTGTACGTGTCATTTTGTTCGATGTTCAAGATATTGAACTGATACCATTGAATGCCCATATAGAAACACGGGAATGGAACCAAACTCGCTCTTGGCATGGTTTATAGCCCACTCGATGTCCTGAAATTGTTCCTTCCAGCTCGTCTTCGCATACGAACTATCCTTGCTTTTCTTCTCCGTGTCTAAGGCCGTCCTTCCAAAGCCGCGCTGGTCATAGGCGAAGATAGCTATGTCGCGCGCGGACCAAGTAGGAAATACGTGCTCGTACCGGGCAATGTGCTCAATGAAACCGTGCACGAAAATTACAACAGCTTTTGCGGTGGAAGCTGGCCGGTACGTGCGAGTATAGAATTGTGTGTGCTGTGGACCAGCTAGCCATGATTCCAAGAAAGCTGACATGATCTGCAAGAAGAATATTTGATGCGACTCCCTCCTTGAAGACCCGAATTAAGACATTAGGTAATGCTTGAGATCTTGAGAACTTGAACGACAACTCCCTCGGTGCCTCAATGCTTGTATGTCTCGTCACGCACTTGCTATGAGCAAGCATTTCTTCAGAATTCCAGATAATGGACAAAAATCGGACATTCTAGAGTCTGCTGACCTTCGCTCCCTTGACACGCAGCCCTTTGCCAAGATTAATATGTATTGACCTCACAAGGACTCTCACATTGCATTACTCAAGATTCCCATCGCCATGTGTCCCTACTCAGATACCGAGGAGTTGAATATTAGTACGTTCTGGCCACGCTCAGGCAGACTCCAATTTCGCTAAGTCGAACGCAGGGGCAGAACGTTGTACCCACATTCATAGGTCATCGCCGTCCGGCATATGAATGTGGATTCACGTATCACACGATCAATGACCAGTGCAGACTGGAGTGTAGCGTATGCGCAATTTTCCCAATCATGACACTACTTGGAGTCTATATGCAACCGCAAATATTGTTGCAACCTGTCACACGTCAAGCGAAGGGACGCATCGAATAGATTCTTCCTTGCGCGCCGGCCGGGCCGCAGAGACCATTATGCGAATGATATTTAATGAAGCCACGTCCTTCCAAGTTACATTCAACACAATGCGTATCCTGTTCTTGACAGCATTAATAGTGGGTAGGCTCTTCTCGGCACGGGGAGCTGCCCCAAACACAGGCGACGTATCATGTATAGTCACAGCGAGTAGCGGAGACGATGGACCGCCATTTGTGGATGCTGTTCAGCGTTGTGATTCAGTAACAATTCCTCGTGAAACTACTCTTTCAATAGCAACGAGGATGAATATGACCGGCTTGAAGGACAAGAACATTGTACGTTACTGTGTTCTATGATGTTGTACTGACAATCTCACCTAGTGGGTTGCAGAATCTGTTGGGAACCATAAAATTCACAAGCAACATGTCATATTGGATCAACGTATGTGTTGTGGATCACAATGCGCCATCTGTTAACCCCTCGCATTAGAACGGTTTTCCATTTGAGTTCCAGGATCAAATCGCCTTTTGGATCGTAGGTGGGAAGAACATCCTTATCAATGGTGGCGGGACAATAGATGGTTCAGGTCAGGTATGCTAATTAACACATAGGATCTATGTCCTGCTAATCTCACAACCTGCAGGTCTGGTACGACGCGTTGTGAGCAGGACTGACAGTAGTCTGGGTGTAACGTTTGGTTGACTCTGCATTCAGTGCCACTAACAGCACTCTCTTGCGTCCAATCCTGCTCACGATTTACCAAGCTACTGATGTTGCCATCAAAAATATTACGATGATCAACAGCCCTGAGTGGTTTAACTTTGTGAGTATTTCAGAGTTTACTCAATCATTGACTTGACCAGCTTACCCTCCCTCCACGGCAGGTTAATGAAGGGAAGAACGTCGTCTACGACGGCGTTAATATTAGTGCCCTCTCCACATCAAACAACCTTGCGAAGAATACTGATGGCTGGGATATATATCGCAGTGATAGCGTTTCCATCATGAATTCGAACATCAACAATGGCGATGATTGTGTTTCACTAAAACCAAGTACTATCTATTCTCGCCTGGGCTTCATGGTTCACTCATGCAGTCTTTATCTTAGATTCAACGAATGTCATTGCATCAGACTTATACTGTAACGGTTCCCAGTCCGTAGAAGCTTTCTTTGGGCGTGGTACGCACCTGCTCACATCCTGTTGACAGTGGTATTTCCGTGGGATCCCTCGGGCAGTATGCTGGGGTATATGACATTGTCGAAAACTTCACTTCGACGTGCGTTCGATCACGGACTTCTATAATAGCCAGGAGCACTGATTAAGAATTCTCAGCAATGTCCAAATGTATAACGCTCAAAATGGTGCGCGCATTAAAGCCTTTGCTGGTCCGGGGGTCGGCAGTGGCCTTGTTAAGAACATTAGTTTTGGCTTCTTCACCGAGGGCAATGTCAACAACCCCTTAATCGTTGATCAGGTTTGTGCTCATCTTCTCACGATCTGCAAGAAACTAATCAACTGTTGTGCAGTGTTACATGACTAACGCAACAGAATGTACTGCATACCCTTCCAACGTATATATTCAGGACGTCACGTTTTCTAAGTAAGCGACAGTGATTATGTCCTTTCATTGAAACTTATACAACTGTTACCCAAGTTTCAAGGGCACTTCGTCTGGAAAAATGAATTCCGTAGTTGCTTCGCTGGCATGCTCTCCGGACGCCCGCTGCAACAACATCAGTGTCAACGATATTTCCCTCGAGTGCGTTTTGTTTTTTTGTTCCTTCAGGTCAATCAAATAATCAATCTGCAAAGACCACCTTCAAAAGATGGTAGTGCGACCTACTCTTGCCAGAACGTGAATATCACTGGAAATGCTGCTTACCTATTCGGTAACTGTACAACTACCTAAATGCAATCGAGCACCTCAGCACATACATAGTCAGCATCGTGGTTGTGGGCTTGTGTGTAACAAGCTCGTAGTAGCACATGCAGTCTTCTCAGGCTTAAAATTTTGATTGTTTGAGCCTACATCGAACTAAGCGCCCCTTCATGAATCAATGGATAACTTTGTTTACATAACTTCGTTATTCAAGTTGGACTCGTCTCGTCTGGGACCGTCGACAGTTCTGCACCAAATGTCTCTCTTCTCCAGAGTAAAACACATCGACGCTTTAGTCCGCTGCAACCGATCTACTTTCACTGCACATCGCTCAAGGTGGTTTTCCCTGTTCCCTGGCCGTGCTCAAGGAACCCAAATACCAAAAGGACAACCGTTTTATGAACTGAAGAAGCCCAGCATCTTAATTAAGTTCACCTGGACACTGCTCATAGCTGATGCGGTCTGCACGTGAGTTTTTCTGTTTTGTACGCGCTGATTTAACTTCAATGGTGTGCAGACTAGCAATGTGTGAGCTTTCCTGGAACTATTTCACGCGTCCCGTGGAACCAACCGAGCCCGCAATACCCCATGGCTCCAATACTATAGGCAATAAGCCACAGTACGAACTCCGCCCGACATACCAGCGTGCTGGTCTAGTTTTTATGCATCTCGCGTTTGGAGGTTGGGTGGCATTTATGGTTGGCATGAAAAGTGGAATGAATGTCAAGAGGATCTGGCTGACTCCACCACGTCCACGAGGCGGTTTGACCACGTCAACCCGAAAAGCAATCGGGCATCCAAAGGTTGCGACTTTTGAAGGCTTTGGCAGTTTTGGTCTACGGGGCGATGCACTGGACGTGAAAAATTGCCGCTTATCTGCTGCAGAATCTGCAAACGAGCTGACATTGATTGTTAACGCACCGGAGAATAGAACACAACAACTTTCGATCGCGACGAAAGGCGTTTATATTGACGGCAAGCCTGTTTCACGCGATGAAGTTTGCACTTCGCTCTCGCAAGTCTTTGGACATAGACCTGAACCCGCGTCTTGGATAAGTGGTCCAATTCTAGATGCACAGGTATGCCCTCCGAGTCAATCGACAATCTTATGCTTATATCGTTCAAAATAGAAACCATGAAACTCGAGCAGGATGGAATCTTGCGAGCCTGCTGTCAGTCAGTTGCAGCTGGCAGCTTACTACCTATATTTCCTCGACCAGATTGAGGCGATACAGTTACTGTAGCTTATTTGTGCACGTCATTATACGTGTCCGCCAAGAGGTCTGTACGCAAATAGGCAGACCACTTATGAATGCCATGCCGCGTCACTAGTCAAGCTCAAGATTCACGTTCACAGCAGGAGGGCTACCTAGGTCTGGATACATTGCCTAAATGTATGGACGACGTATTATCTGGGACCCATGGTCATGAACTCGTACATCGCACTTTTAAGTGAACGAGCGATACTACCTGCAGCCCAACGCAGGCACTGTCCCATATTGAAAATGAGGTGACGGATCCCCTGATTCCCACTCGACCTACTCAAGCTGCCATGGTTGCTAATTGTGTTACTGTCAACCCATGGCCATCGAGTCCTAGCCTTCTGCGATGATGGCCCTCAACGATTGCGCTGGCCTGACATTTATTACTAGTAAAAAGTCTCTTGCCGGTTTGCCCGCGTAGTCATTATATTTCCAGATTCACATCAAATCCTGTCTGCTATAATATAAGCTGACTTTTCTGCGCATGCGTGGATTGGCGTCAGTAGTAGTCCTTTAGCGAATTCAATACGACATGCATCGCGCATGCCGGTGCGGCATTTGCCGTGGTACACTTATTTCTCTGCCATCATGTCCGGTACTCAGTATATCCCTCACATACTATACTCAACAGCCTTGACCTCAATTTCTATGCACTTGCTGTGGCAGAGAAAAACGGCTGACGAAGACCGAGCAAGGTTCAAGGCTCAAACTTCCATTCTGCAAGACCTCATTGAGCAACTTCGTTCGGGCAAGCCAATATCTGACGAAGAGATTACGAAGTCGCGTAACCTTGCCTGTATACACGGAGAGGGAAAACAGTCGCCCGACAAGGACAGAACTAACATTGGATGGACGGATGTGTTATGGGGCCGAAAAACGCCTGCAGACCTTGGTGTCAGTGATGAATGGGAACGAAAAGATCTGGAGCAAAGTGAGTCGCTCCTGCCGTCACACACAGCAGCCAACTGACTGGTCTACCAAGTACGGAAAGAAATCGAGGCAGAGAGTTGAATGCCTTGCTTGGTGAGTATCGTCCAAACGTCTTCAACCTGTACACACAATATACACCAGACCAATATATCTACAGAGAGTACACGTGCGCCTATGCGAACTTCTCCCTTCGCCTACATGCAAGACAAAATCTCGTGCGACTGCTTTCTACTGCGAGCGCATATTCTTATACCTGAATGGACGATCGTATTGTGAATTAACGAGAGAAGCCCAGTGTCGACAAACCGTCTTGCAGCGTACCCTAGAAGGGGAATGTTTTTCCATTTGTGTGCTGACCATTCTGGGCAGACTCAGTAAACAAGAGTTTGAACATACGACAGCCACTCACCGCGTTGGAGTTGCCATTTGCGTTGGCATTCTTCTTCTTCTTTCCCCCCGGAGTGGGATTCTGCAATGTCGGAACCAGGCTTTCCGTGGTATCATCAACCCCATCTGCGGAACCTCCTTCAGCAACAGTGTTGGGTGGCTTAGCCGTTGAGGTGTTGGGGAGGCCAAAAATCTCGCATATGAATCTTTTGACGTCTTCATCCCCGGCGCTCGCACTCGTTGGTGAACGGCATCCATCCTCTGCCGCCTTCTGCAGCGCTCTTTCCCTCACCATAGTGAGCCTGAGAATCGTTTCGATGTCGAGCTTTGCAGCTTCTGATAAAGAAGGGAGGGTGGGGCTCTTTGCTAACGTCGAGTATGATGGTATTAGCAGCTGGGCATCAATCTTGAAGTCAGAATAGATCTTGATCTTGTCGATAGGTTGTAGGTCGAGCCTCTCGAGCTGACGGACCACCAGCTTTCGCACTTTGCCAAAGCCCCACCGTGTTGCGAGCCTCAAGATCACGAGCCACCTCTCAAGCGGCTGGTTCTCATATTCGAAGTCTCTAGAAGGCCACAGATTTCAGTAACGATGTTGGTGGACATTCAATGGGCGAGTGCGCTACGACTCAGTCGGACTCACTCGTCGTAGAATACCCACAGGAAGTGGGCAAAATCTTCAGGTTTGACATCCAATGTATAAGGCTTGGTGTTGCCATCACTGTCGGAAAATATCTCTCTAAAGGAACTTGGTTCGCGCTCGAAGAAATAACGATGTACTTTGAACAGTACGTTTTGTGCCTGAATGAAGAGAAATTAAATTATTCATCAGTGCTTCATACCCACTTGGAGGCCCTCTCACTAAAAACTGAGTGTCCCCAGTGGGAATGAAATACTGAGGATGTTTGATGATGGCGGAAAAACCAGTAGTGGTGGGCGTGTCTGACATGTCGTAGGAAATCGATGATTGGGGGTAAACAGTGCTCGTATGCCCCTTGATTCGATTGACATTTATATTTATCTACTTAAGTGCGAGCGCTGGTGATGCGTCGAACATCGGTGTATCGATGCCATCAGTATCAGACTTCAGATTGCTCAATGTAGTCTCATCCCGCAGTTCTAGCGACTGTCGACGTAATGATCCTTCGTTATTGCGTAGCGTCGCCTACAGGAATGATCAAGTATGGTACGTACAATAAAATTAAACAAGGGATACTCGTCGCCGGAGAAGCCCTCATGTTAGATCACCCGTTGTAGCCCGAAGTTTACTAATGAAGAGGCGAACCGCGCCCACGAGGCCCCTCGAGGCAACAAGTTGACGAGACATATTTACGAAATAAGTCTGGCCGCATCAAAAGATCCCCCATCAAGCTTCAAGGACCGATCATTCAATGATATCCCTGCCTACCACCAAATCGAAGTGGCGCATACAATTGTCTCGCTCGCGCTCGTGGATCACTCATCGAACAAGAAGTTTTTGATGCAAACGGAATAGCATTAAACTCAAGGAATGGCGGACAATCGAAACGACAGAACTTGAGTCAGTTTTTTTGGAATGGAAACGGAGAAAATTGCCAAGCGCCAACATTCTGCTCTCCAACTTGGTCGAACTTAACCTTATTTCTTACGTGCACCTCCCCCAGACCCACGCCCACCGCTACGCTTTGCTCCACCTCCGCGACCGCCTTAGATGAAATTGGTTTGTGAGATGTACATCAAACTGATGTTACCACCATGCTCACCTCGCCCGCCGCCACGTATGCTTTCGCTATCAGATAGCATACTAGAGAGATCAATGTCCTTGGTTTGAGTTTCATCCTTCTCAACATCATTTTCGTGGTCGTTAGTCTCATTCTCATGGGGATTCTTAACATCAATGGGTGTTGATACAACAGGCTCAGCGATAGGGGTGACAACGGTGGTGGAACTATAAGGAGAACCAGCTTTTTCCTCCTTTGTTCCCTCCTGCAATACCAAGAATGAGCCGCAGTCAGAAAAAGATAAGTACAGGACTCGCCACTGATGAAGGCTCACCCGTTCCGTTTGGTTTGTAGGAGCCAGCCTGAGATGGGTCGGTAAAGTGGGATGCAGCGGAAGGAGAGCTCGTCTGCTCAGGCGCTTTGAACTTCTCCGGCAGCGCGGGCTTGCTCTCAGGGCCTGAGGCAGCTGGCTTCGGACCAGTATTTGACGGCGAAGGAACGTGCGTATTTGTCGAAGAAGCCGAAGAAGTGGATGGCGATTCCTTGGCCGTGGCGTACGTGTGTATACTGTCGATGGAGGAACGAACAGCCGGGTACGTGTGTGTGGTGTCGACGGAGGAACGAACAACCGGGTCAGGGTTGGATGAACCACTGGTACGAGCTGAAAAGCCACCATTGGCTTTGGTTGTCGTCGACCCATTGACCTTCGTGCTGCCTGTGAAGGTCGAGCCGTTGGTGTAGGTAGATGAATTACTGGTCTGCGGAATCGGCGATATTGGTCGCGGCGTTATTCCAAAAACCTCCCTGACCATCGATTCCATGTCACTGTCCTCGAAATCGTCAAATGTAGGTGAGCGGACTCCATTCTCAGCGGCGCGCTGGCGAGCCCGCTCACGAGCGTCTGCTACACGGAGAACGGTCTCCATCCCAAGCTGCATGCCCTCAGCAAATGTCAAAGGCTTGTCCCTCTTACAGACCGCGATGTATGCTGGGATGAGGAAAAGCTTGTTTATACTGTACTCGTGATAGGTTGCGATCTTGTCGACGGGCTCTATCTGAATTTTCTCGAGTTCACGTACAGTGAGCTCCTTGACGTCGTTGAAACTCCACCGGTTGGCGAGGTGTAGAATACTCAGCCACGTCTCGAGAGGCGCCTCATAGAGCGAATATTTTCTATCCACAACCGTCAGTATGTCTGGCTCGAGCAAATTGGATTAAGTAGGCATACGGGTTGTAGAAGACCCAGAGGAAACGTGCAAAGTCTTCGCTCTTGACATCCTCCAAGGTATAGGCGTTGTTGTCTGATGAGCCGCGTTCCTCGCCTTCGGCTGACTGGAACTTCTGGCGGAAAAAAAGCGATTCACGTTCGAAGAAGTAACTGTGTATCCGATAGAGATGATTCTCGACCTGCGAAGTTGTATCCGTCAATCCGAGATGTTGAGTATCCTAACGACCGTAGGTACTCACCAGTACGGTCATATCACCACCGCGTATATAATAGTCCTTGTGATGGATGACGCGAGCTAATCCGTGCTCTGATGGGTTGCCCATGATTGACTTTACCTGAGAGATGAGGGAGGGAGGAGGAAGGTGAAAAGGTTTGGGTTCAAGAGGAAATTTTTCAAGGAAGTCAAGATATACGTTTCTTGAATCCAGCTCGAGGGTTAATGATCAGATCAGTTACACGTGTTCTGCGCGTGTCCTCCATTGTTCCCTCGTCCTTTTATTCCTATCCAATTGCTTAGCCTGAAGATTGATTGCGTAAATATCATCGTGGTCTATTGTCGGGGTTGTCCAAACACTATCGTACCACGATGTCGACCAAACACCGCTGAGTTACGTGCAATCTCAGGAAGCAGCGCGTTGCAGGTGAGTTGGATGACATCCAGGGACGTGGACCCGACTTTTTGAACTGAAATTTTCAAAAGAGTCACGGTATGCTCCGCGGGAAATTCCACAGTACCAAATCAACACAGGATTCGTGATACACGCAACTCGCGGATCAATATTCGATCAATACTCAGCGCTCATTTTTGGGGTTCCTGCATGCAGACAGCAAAAGTTGCCTCAAGGCAGACTGTGATGACTCGGATGCATCACAAACATGACACAGGAACTGCATTCCTGGGTTTTTCGTACGTGAAATGTGGGCATACGCAGTTCATGCGACCCACCTTTAGACAACACGAGGTTAATGCATAATGGATAAGACGTACGTCAAGGATCATCCATGATCCATCATGCATCTTGAGTTCCATGGCTCCACATGATGTTATGTATTCACTGCATTTTAGGCGGCCGCAGCAGCTCGCTTGTTCTCGCGGCGAGTCGATGAGTCATAAAGCAGGAGACTGTGTTGCGTCACTGAATCTAGGCCGCTATCGAGCGTAATTATGCGAAGTATCTGTGTGTGTGGACGCAACGGGCCAAAGTTTAGAGTGAGTGTTGTTGATCCATGCTTAATTAAACCATGCCAGACGAGCACTGGTTTGATTTGAGGTCACAGGAGGACCAATCCAAAGACTCATGATCCAATAGATTTTCGCAATACTCAGTTATGGATGACTGTAGTATTAGTACTAGTCTGCTTCTCGAATGATTGCTCGAAAGTGGTAAAGGTATTCTTCCCGAGGATGGCGAATACTACGCGATCAAAGGAATGCCGGTATCGCGCACCTTTCACCGTCAATAACTCTGCCCAGATCCTCGCAATAACCTCGACATCGTTTTGGAATACCCCCGTCCCGAAACTGCCCAAGACGATGTTCTTAGCACCCTGCTGTTCAAACAAGAACAGAATGCGCGCCATTCTTTCTTTCATGACATATTCGATGGGCTTCTCGATCTCCGCAAGCTCTGATTCATCCTTGATCCTCTTCCTCACATCGCCAGCGTTTACAGCCGCGCTTGTTAGAACGTCGACTTCAAAAGGCGACGTCCAATTCCCTGCATCATCCTTCAAGATCACGACAGAAGGTGTGTAGACCATTGCGTGATGATAAAACCCTCTGTTTCTATCACGAGTGTGTAGTTGGTAGAAGTGTTGTGCGCTGTCCGTCATTAGAGAGGGATAAAGCGTAGATGACCGGGCTATGGACTCTTCTTGAGCTTGTGCCCCATTCAAGAAACCGCCTCCAGGTCGTGTAGCAGACGCAAAGTTCAAGATTGCTATCCGACCGAAGCTCGTAGAACAAGATGAAAGGGTATTGAACAACAATGTAGCACCATCAAGTGTCGAAATCTCGAGGATAGATACCTGAGATTTCGTAGCTGCAGCATTACGTGGTGGGTCACTGGTGGACCAGGTGGACAGTAAATCATCTGGAGCATAGTAGCGAGTGTTATGATTGGAGAAGTTGACTTTGGCAGCGAGATCATGGGAGATGTTGGCGATGATGACCGTGCCATTCTCGATCGTGTTGATCGTGCTCTGGGCGATTTCTCGAAGCCGATTACGGCGATCTCCACCGCCGTGACCACCTCGGAGACCGGTCTTTTGAAATGCAAGTTTTGTTTGAACGCTCATCGCAGTTACTTGTAAAATCTGGTCCTCCTATTCAAAACTTTTTTCCATAGACCTATACATTTTGCCTTCCATTTTAGGGGTGAGCGGCCGATGACCGGTACGTCGAACAATAATTTAACAATGGTCCCCCCACGACAGCTGAAGACGATTAATTTCGTGTCAGGTCCGATCGAGGCGTAACAACGCTCTCGACTTTTCACACGAGACATACAAGGTTATCTATATGCATAATACCCCATATACGTAGGTCCGACATAAACGCCGTCGTCGTAATTTTGCCACTACCATCACTCTCACGTTTCTGATTTCAAACGTACCAACGGTCCGCGACCAAGGATACCTCACCTTAGACACGGTACGAGGCCGAAGCAAAATCCCAACATGCTGTCATCCATCGAACCCCTGGAGGAGGTAAGTACATGCACTGTAGTGAGGCCACAACAAAGCTAAATCTGTGCAGAGATTCAGACAGGTAGAAGAAGAGAGTGAGAGGAGGGCTATGCAAGAGCAAGACCTGTCGTCGACAAATGAGCTAGTTGACCCTGATTTAGTCAGCCTAAGCAGGCGAGGACATCAGCGGAAGAAGAGTTCAGTGTCAATTTCACGATTCGGCCAGGTACGGGTTATTAACTTAGTAGTATATGGACCGTGCAAACTCACCCTCAATAGCCTGGCGCAAGTAGTTCCACTTCACCCACACCTTCACTACTCGCTACTGTTGCCCACAAGTCGACATTCTATCATTCATTAGCAAACGTAAGTAGCCTTTTATTTGTGCCTGCTATCAGCAGCATTTCCTGATCGGAATATTCAGCCCAGAAGCATGGACTCCTTCATTTCCGAACGCTCAGAAGACGAATCTCACCATTTAGAAGATGACCAGCAGGTGACGCGAGTCGAACGAATACATAGCCGTCAGCCTTTCCAGAAAACAGTTGAAGCCATACTACCCCGACGCATGGTTCGGTCGCACTCATCAAACGTACTCTCGCCAAGTACACGCCTGGTCATTGACGTCTCTGTCGAAAAGGCAACAGTAGATACCGCATATGCGCGTTCTGAGGACACCCACACCACCACCATCCACGCAACCAAAGCAGGAGAGCTAAGCCCTAGAGCGTCTCAGATTAGCGCGCTTGGCGCCAAGCCACCGGCAGACAGGCTGGTAGAACGGGCGAAATCGTTCGCTCGTAAATTCGGACGTAAAAGAAAGCCCGAATCTGGGTGAGATGAAGTGGATGTTGTGCGCGCGCCCGGCTCTTGAGCTGTCAAGGAGACTCTGGAATGGAATGGACCTAGTTTCAATGATCCGAGTAGTTGCCATGCTTCATCAAGGACTAGTGATAACCTTGAATTGCTCATCACCAAGAGGCCAGAGCTGCATCAGAATTTCTTTCATGTACGATACTCTATGATTATATAATATAATTTCATGAACCAATCATCGTTCAATCGCCTTTCTTCCACTGACAATTACATCGGTTCTTCACGTGAGTTCAGTGCCGTGATTTACGTGCTTCGAGATCGATTATCTTCCAATTCTGAATTTATAATCAGATCGAATTATGCGTCACCGAGTCTAGGTACGCAAGATCATTGCGGAAACAATTCCGCATGCTCATAAAAGCGAACCAACACGATGGGCGCCAAGGATCCTTGTACTCGCAATCACCTTTCCATTATTCTGGGATCAGAGCCAAATGAGTGGTGTCCGTACTTCAAATCCATCAACTATGCAGCTACCACACCACAGACGTGTTGTGGATAAATGTACCCCACGGGACAAATATGCGCGGACGCATATACATCTACAGAATTCATTCCTCTCAAGCTCTGATGATTTGAGTGTAAGGACTGTGAGTCTCCTGGAACTTCTTCAGTCGCGCTGTCAAGATGTTAATTAGATATTGCAGCCAAGCGCACCTTGGGTCCACGCGTATAACTCACGACAACGATCGCAATCTTCCGCAGATACGCAAGGCTGGAAGCATCTGCCAACTCCCATCCGACCAACCTTCCGCCCGCGTGATTATGCATCACCGCTCACTGCGGATAATGACATTGTCTCTCCCACGAACACGTTCAAAGTCCTACGACGCTCGTTGCATAACCTTGATTTTGACCCAACTTGCCTTGATCGCCTCGATGAACAGCTTCTTCTTTCGCCCACAGAGTCATTCGTTGACGTATGTTACTCTGAAGCTATTCATGATAATAATATCCCTGTCCCTATGCTCCAGCCCATCCAACCTCGTATCCGTAAAGACGCGACGCTATATGACCGTACAGCTGCCACCGATGAGGACCCTTTCCACGATTGGGATGAAAATTACTCCGTCAAATTCAAAAAGGCTCGCAGGAAACCGGTGAGACTTCTCCCACTTGTTTGCGACTTCTACTGAATCTTCACGCAGTTGCCCCCACCTCCGCTTCCACAACTGCCCGAAGAATCACTTCCCAGAACGAGTCACCAGGACTCGATGCTCGCTCTTCTGGAGTCACATATCCTATATCACAATCCCAACGAATCTGTTCACTTTTTCCCAGTATCTACGCAACGCTGCAGTGGGGAATCGCGAAAATCCTCTCTCGAAGCCCCCTCCGTCCACTCCACGGGGTCGAATGGCAGATTCAGGCGCATTTCTGATGCACTGACCGGTCGTTCTCGAAGACCCACTGCTTAAAACCCCGCCGACTTCATTGAATGTAAAGTCATCATCTCAGCTGTTTCGATTACTCGACAAAAACGGCATGCCGTACCACCTCCATCCCCTGATTGTTATATCTTAGCCTAATCGCAATGCAGCAGGAACTCCATTCGCGACCTAGATACCCTCTGACGTTACTCTAACTTTTGATTGATTTGTTTGTTTTATAGGAGTATATTTTGGATTTCTTACCATCTCATGACAACCGACTGTGCAAACTGCTTCACAGTCGCTTCTTCCTATCTCCGTCGCTAGATACGATGATCAGTGACGTACCATTCAGCATTGATAACGCCTCGAATGAAATAATGATTTTTGGAACTTAAACATGACATATGACCGCGATTCTTGAGTATATATATCTTACCGAAGTCTTACCTCATGATTGGTCGTTTGGTCGGCCAAGTGGTGTTATGGTGGAAGTTTGACGGATGCGACTTTCAAATACGGACTTGCTTCGGTTTTACACGGGTGAATAGTTAATTGTTCTTCGGAGGGCGTAAAACGATACCCCGATATCTGGTGGTCGACAGCTGAGTTAACGGCATATGGGAGTCGAAGTCGAAGGACATGAATTGACATTCAGACGACGTGGAGTCCCATATCATTTAAAGTAGCGACCGGCTAGGGGAGGACCCCTGATAATACCTTGGGACAGTTTGGTCAACTTGTCCGGATGAGTCCCGCCTAGGGTTCGCAAAATTTTCAAAAACACGTTTTTTCAATGTTGGGGAGCTAAGATGGTGTAACGCAACTCAGGGAGCATATAAATATCACAGTCCAGCCCCATCATCCCCTTCTAAGACTATGGTCTGCTTTACTCGCTTGCGGAAAAGCTTTGTTGCATGCTTCAGTTGAGGCGAAGCATGATGTAATCGCATATTTCGAATGGGAGGCGTGAGCTACAACTTGTACAAGTTCAAGCCCCGAGGCCTGAAGGTGTCATTTTATGTGCAGAAGCGAAAATGCAGATGAAGTCAGTAAGGCGAATTGATAGCACTGAAAGATGACAGTCGCATCGGGCAGACCTTGAGCAATTTATGCTAGGCAGTAAGAACGTGGTTCGAACTTCCGCAGTCTAACACGATCTATGCGTGATACATCACCCTATACCGCTATGACATTGTACCACTACCTTGAGGTTCGACAAGAGCATCGTGTCCGGATGGATCATCCGCAAACCGGACCTTGGATATTCGGATCATAACCTGGGACAAAAGGTCATGCGGGTCAATTTCTGTTCTGTTCCATAAGCATTATCAGGGATCCGGATAGGAGAATGGCATCGAGAATGCCCTGGCCCATCAGGAAGAGGAACGCGGAGAGTAAAGTTTAATTATCTGAGGTAGGTTCACGATCAGTTAGTCTCCAACAGAACATCTGGATACGAAAAACGAACTTTAGTCATGATGGGAGTCGGACAAACCTCGTGAGCCGTTGTAAGGGAGACACATTAAAATACCATGACAACTTGAATTCCAGACTACGTATTAGTTCTGGCTGGCTTCGTGCTGCATGCATCTTTATGCTCGAGAACACCACCTAGATCAGTGGATACACGCTTATCGACACCCTGTGGGAGCCGTCGGTGGGCGAGAAGCTAATGACGAAACAAGCTACCAACATCTTGGAGCTCCCTTGGTTGCCAAGCTTTTCTATATATGATCATATATCAGCACATATAACGCTATCTGCGGCTCACCAGTCCCGACTTCATGTACTATGATGACCCGAGGTATCTAAACCAGGATTTCCCGCTAGCCATTCTCAGCCAATGATTCAAGTTGGCCCATTGCCATCATTTTACTTTGTCATAAGATAACCTCAGAGCTGTAAGAACGCTGCGGTTGAGTTGCTCCGCTTGCTCCTTCGATAAAACCGTGACGGCCGTGGCACAAGGAAAATCGGGTGGAAAATATTGTGGCTGATCATTATGTGACGAGCATTGTGCGTCGCAAACACTCACTTACCGTCACTACTACAGTGCTACCCTGTTCTTGCAGTCGACAGCAGTAATAGTCTATGATTGCTGCAAAAGAGTGAGTGTGCTTGAGCCTTGGAGCAAGTTGCTTGCAAGTTACAAAATGCTATAGACGGTAACTTAGGGCAAGCGGCGCTTACATACTAGGCGCCCGCCGGCGTCTGCCCGACCAGCCGCATATCCCAGGAACGCCAGCAACCTCTTGATAACATGTCTACCATAACGAACTTACCTTTCGATCTTCTGCAACCTATTCTCATACATTTACATGATCGAAGGCATCTGAGTACAGCTGCACTAGTCAGCCGTGCATTCAATCACGCTGTGACGCCTCTTTTGTACAGAAGGCTCGATTCACAAGTGAAACGAAATGTGCGATTACTCTTTCTCTCGTAACTGTATATATCTGTATTTACTACTATATCCAGACCCTTCACCATCCTTCTGCAACCCTTCTCAAACGACCAGAATTGGCACAGTATGTCTGGCATGTGACGGAGACAGGCAAGTGGTGTGGTTTCAGACTTGTAATTGGTTTGATCAGCCCCACTGCACAGGCGCGGTGCAACGCTTTCGACAAGTTATTCCTCATATCACTGAAGATATTGTTGCAGCGCTTAGACTTTGCACAAATATCACGTCTGCAACTTGGGTAGACGACACGTTGACTCCAGAGGCGAATTTTCTACCCATACTGGACGTCTTGATGACGTTACCCTTGCGGGAGCTCACGATACGCACCCAGTATGATCCAGGAGAACGAGTTTGGTCCCGGCTCAATACTATCCAGGGCATTCGTCGCTTGTCAGTGTGGTCTTTGGAGTGGGGCCCTCCGCGGGTACTTCAAGGATGGGCTGATCTACTAAGCTCCTCTCTAACGTACCTTGAACTCGGCGTAAGGGAGCTTTTAATTTCCTTCTCTCTGTTTCCTTATTCCTTTCACAGCGTTGTGCAGGTGTTCCCGCAACTATCCTCATCTCTGTCTTTATGAAACTTCCTCTTTTACAAGAGCTTTGTCTCAAGGGTGCTCCAAGCGCGGCCATCCCGGCTATAATTGCTTGTCTTCCCAATCTGATAGCCCTCGACACGGAATATCTGGATTCTGGAAATTACCGCACGCCACTCACACCGTTACCTCGTTTGCAACGCCTAACAATTCAAACAGGATCAGTGGATATCGATGGACCGCAGAAACTATGGACATGGATGAGGATATTGCTTCCACACCAACAAACTTTAAAGTCATTCACGCTAAATGCATTTGCAGTGCATGGCCAAATAACCATTCCGCGCCCATTCATTGTAAATCTTACTGGCAGACACGGGAAGTCCCTTCAAGATTTTGCTGTGGGCGTTGCGCAGTTGACGTTAGAGACTGTATCCTATATGTGCTCGACATGCCCCCAGCTTACAACGCTCGAATGCTCTGTGGCGAGTCCAGACGTGGTATGTGATTCTCGCTAGTATCTGGAAGATATGTTACCGGTTAATTGTTGATGCGTCTAGGACTCAATCGCAAAAGCAATCGAGGCGGGCCACAACCTTCGGACACTCTCGCTTCATGTCTCTTGGATCCCTCATGGCAGCGTTGATTTGCTTCCACAGTTTCAAAAGTACTCAGAACCCCGAACCATGTATGCAGATTCTTCACATCTTATAAGCGAGGGGAAGGCTAGTCGTTTTAATGAGGAACAGGCTCGCGCCTTGATGCTCCAGACACGCCTTCGCAGCATTGGCATAGGGGATCAGTCCTACACAGTGAGTTTATTCTGTTCTTGTTGCGCGCCTTTGGCATTTGGGCTTTGACTTGGTTGTCGAAGGTAGTCGATATTCTTATCTGTCTTCTTCAGGGTCGGTGGGTTCGTCGGGAATGTTCTGCCAAGGTCATACAGGATGTTGGAAAAGAAGATGTCGTACTAGAAGTCGTCGGGGATCCATTCGTCTAGTTTTCAGGGTCACCTGTCACACTGAATTCGGACCGTGTGTCATATCACCGAGCATGCATTGGTGAACTGAGTGCAGTGAAGAAAGCTTCAGGCCATATCACATCACTTCTGGAAGGAAATAAGATATGTATCGTTGGATGGGGTATGCACAATTTTGATCTGAATGGCGCGGCGATTCCCAAACCCGCCACCCGTGCCAAGCATGCACCCAGACTTGGTTGCAGCCACAGAACTGGTGTCTGCGCAGACCGGCCATTTCAGACTCGTCCTTGCACAGACCGAATTTAATACTTTTCAAAGGATATTTTCAGAGACTCCGAACTGTCCTCCGAGAAGAATCAGGTTACGTCGATAACAAACACAAGGTTTTCATCATCCCCCGGACGCTTCGGCGATGACATGGCTGACGAAGCCCTCTAAAGGTTACCTTGGCTTTCGTATCTGGTGGTGTCCCGCCGCTGAGTTTACACTGCTTACTCTACACGCAGCAGGATTCTACGAGAAGAAGAGAGATAATTTCTCTCACACTTACATCTTCTCTTACACTCCCACCCCGGCGACGATTGTCCTCATGTGAGACAGCAGGTTTCTCGAGATGCGTCCCACAACATCTTGTTGTCATCGGTCAAGGAAACCCAAACGGAACTTAAGGAAGACATTCCATTGTGTCGCTCCCATCGCGTCGTCCTCCACGTCACCCAAGGACAGCGGTGCAACAGTTTAGAGTGCACGAGTGGTTATGGTTCAGTGCATCGAGTGACTGTATACACTGAACAATAACCAGTCGCTTCACTTAGCCTGTCATGGAATTTTGAATCAACTCGAACAACCACCCGAGTCTTCTTCAATGCGTGACGGGCGGTCGATAATCAAGAACATCATCCTATCTAACTGGCAGAACCATTCTTATCGGCTTGCCATACTACCGTGTGTAATCAAAAGAACCCCGACTCGGATAGATGGATGATCCTGGACCCATGCCATCTCACCGCGGCGATACAATTTTCCAAATTTCGTAGTGTGGTTGGTTTCATGTGGTCTGTCGACGACGAGGTTGCACGACAGGTCCTCTGCTTTTTACTTTTACTGCAACCTGGTCGATGGTTCAATAATCTACACACCCACTGCAGTAGCGTTGCACAAGGCTGTAGAATCGCTGCGGAATTATTTTTTCACTACAACGGCAAATCACATTTGTTCACATAGGTGTTTAGTTTGAGGTTTGATTCGTCTTGTTGCATTTTCTGTGGTCCTGGTTGCTTTCATTCCAAAGTTGCTGTCCTGACTGGTTCTCTCAATTATTAGTTCGGTCATGTCTGCACAATGCTTTTGTTCTTACATTGTGCACTAATGCAGCATGTATCATTGATCACGCGATCATGCCTAGGCCCCTTAGGCCTCGGGATTCAAGTGACAATGCCACTACCTCGACTTCCCCTCTTATAAAGTTGCCTTTGTCGTGGTCACCTCGCAACCAATCAAGTCATAATTATACAAGGGCATTGCACAAAGATAAAACAGGTTTATGACAGAGTAGTCTTAAGGAATTTGATCCACCCCCTTCCAATTAAAACCTATGCTTCACAAGATCAACCTGGTAGGCGATAGAGCCGTCGATAGTTGAACAAAGCCGGTTCCACTTCTACTATGTTCGGCCTCGGCCCAACGAACAGAGCCCTGAATGTGTCCCCAGCTGCGGGATGCAGTGACGTGGCGTTCACGCCCTTTGCCTGCGGGATCCTCGACTCTATGCTGCTCAAGAGAGGGCCTGATGATTGAAGAAGATATAGAGAAAGAGCCTTCGAATGCGCTATGTAAGTGTACAGTTGCCGGAGCATTCGCGGTTTTTGACTTGCTGTTGAGCTGAGAATAAACTGTCGAGTTGACATAAGTGAGTCTAAACGGGGCGTTCGCGGTCTGCGCATCAACTCCGAACTCTCCGCCATATCCAGAGGCAGTAGTCAAAGATACACGTGCATTAAGGGGCCTAGATATAACGATGAAGCGTTTAATATATTGAGGAATGAAAAGGAGCACGGGTACTCACGCATTGGCGGTTGCCATGACCAATTCAGATGGCTTCCCAGATTCGTTGTGAAATAGGACAACATCTGCGTCAATAGCCGTGTTAGTAGCGATGAGTTTGAGAGACGATGTCGAATGAAAGTGTCCTTTGATAAGCCCGTTAGCAGTGGTGAAAATCCCTGTCTCAGCTGCTACAGACTATGAAGACTTCAGCTCTAAATACTGAAAGTTCTGAATGACGTAGCACAAACCTGGACGTTGATCAGGGAATGCACGGTATTTAGCGAGATACTACCAAAGAAAACAGTGTCCGACAAAGCCGCGACCTTATGGCGGAAAAGAGGTGCAGAGGTCTCTAAACTCTTGATGTAGAGGGCATCCTCGCTTGCGCTAGCGGGTAAAGTCAACGTGACATCAAACATGAGTCGATCTTTGTCATCTTGGCCAGGAAGACGGCTCTTCGAGGTCTATTATGTAGTATTAGCCATGGAATGTTAGTACGACATAACGTAATGCTGAAGAAAAAAACTTACGTAGATACCAATTCCATTCTGATTTTCCTGGCGCTTGAGATAGCAAATGTTTGTACGTTCAAAGACCTCTTCTTTGAAGTATGCAACGCGAATGTGTACGATGACATCGTCTGAGGCTTCCGTGGACTGCTCCACTGTGAGAGTGCCGTAATGGAAAGCACCCCGAGAGATGAGATACAGGGAGTCAGAGCCGACAGGAAGAGTAAAAAGTGACTCGCTGCCAAAAGGGAACTGCTGTGCCCATGATGGTAGTTCGTAGTATTCGTCCCACTCCGTGCTACCGATGCACCTGACGACTGTCCCATCGCTGGGATCGGGGTAACCAGGTTCGTTTAAGCCTGTTGAAAACTGTAGCGCGCATGAGTTGATTTCTAGTCCTGACGGCGAAAGAAAATCTCAACCTCGCAGTAGTCGGAAACACTGTTCACAATGTTGAATCCAGAGTGGGTAAATACGGCAAGGAGTAGCAAGCTCATAAGACCGATACCAAAAAGCCTAGTTGTGATAGACTGGCGCGGCCGCTGCACAAATTGCGATTCGCAATTCTGGCTATTGGTGGTGGCAGTCTGTGCTGACCCAAAGTCATCATATTCGGTTTGCAATTGCAAAACCTGTTTCTCGTCTCCGTTCATCCTCGCCAGGCGTTATGGAGTTCAAGAGAACGAGCGAGGTCAGTGAGTGCAGATATACAGTACATCTGGGCGCCAATGTTATCGACCAGTCTATGATGGTGTGAAACATCATACTGCGGGCGCAGCGTGCTGGTGATGCCGCGCTGCAGGTCGGTATCAGTACTAGCAATAGCCATGATCAAGAGCTCAGATTGACGCTTGTTGATCACTTTCCAGAAACATCTTGGTATTATCAACACTGTTGTCACAATCAAGCTATCTTCATCGGATTGGGTGCACGACCGTCACGATCACCGGGTCAGGAGCAGTGCAAGAGTCGCGAGTATCAGCACGTGGACTCCGAGTCGGATTGACTTTCGCCCTCTTTGACTAGACCAGTCATCAGCTGGACATTGACACTGAAGTACTGACAGATCCGGGGATCCGTCATCATACCTGCATCTTGCCAAGCTACCTGGATATCCGTGAGAAACCAATTCCGACCCGCAAAGCACTGTCGCGTTAGTGGCGCTGACAGTGACTTTGCCACTGTCTCGTGGCAGGCCCCATCCTCCGACAACCTGTTGTGCTGATCAAACCTTGTTCTAGGTGTCCTGAGTCCCAATCGTAGAGATAAAGGGTGTGAAGTGGTGACTGCGGCAGCGGCTGAGGTGAGCTCGGGTTCTCCCATGTCACGTTTCTTTCTTCTCACTTCCAAAAACTTCCTAGTGGGATTCCGACTCCGAGTCAGTGATCTTGTGGTGCAATTTGAATGCGGCCAGTCCGCTCACGTTGCTCTAAACTCTATCAACAGTACCTGTCACAGGTTGCAACTTTGACAACCACAAGTTGACTATTTCTACCACACTTCTATAAGTAGTACGCTTCACCCTCTCACGCGGCTCTTGAAGACACAAACCTATACAAGGAGAAAATTCATGTTATGGCTTCTCGCTTAAACCTCTCCAGCAGCTTCAGACGTTGCATCTGCTTTCTGATGACGTGCTGCATGACATATATTTTATAAAGTACGTCTGTTCCTTGAAACATCCTCTATTACGAATGTAAGCGGCGGCTCGCTCCTGAGTTTCAGATTACCACCACCATCAGATGCATTCGCCGACAGGTGATAACGTTCAGCCTGTTGAGTGCCTAAAAGGCCCAGGCGCAGCATCATCAACCCTATTACTCTTGACTGTCGGTGTCTAGTCAGATGGTGGTCCTACAAACATCTCAGGCACAACAAGACTATTTTATGTTCACTTGACGCACCCGTCTGTCTTATTTGCCGAGTCCTCGGACAACGTGCACCCCCTCCAGGATGAACCAATAACGGATCGCACTGTTGTTCCCGTGTGGGCAGTCAAATGGGTACATGGTCCCTTATTTACTACCCTCGTCAGGTCACGAGCACCAACATGAGAAGGGTGATCATGTCGCTAGGCATCAGGGGTGTAACATTTCGAGCAACGATGAAGGTTGCTCATGACATCCCTTCTGTTACGCAGAAGGTCATCAGATCTGTGTCCGAGGAGTCGAATCTCAAATACCGTTCGCATAATCTCCTCGACTATGATGATGCTCCCTGCGGGGGTGGATAAGTGGATATAGACACCTCCGTCGCAGCAGGTTAAGTTACAGTTCGCGGCTTAAATTAACCATTGTGATGCTGTACCGACGCAACTACTTACAGGTGTGCATCGCTCTCTTCCCATTATGGTCATGTAACACTTTATGCTAAAGAAATCAATACCTAGGAGTTCCTTTCGTGCTTCACAGGGAGCCTATCATGGGCGCCTTGGTCTGAGTCTCACACGATACATGATTCTGCAGGTTCCTTGCCCTCGGAAAACGCTCGCGGGAAGACAAATTTGGAAGTTGTGACGCTATGATAAGGGAAATACGGTGGAAAACCTAATACCAGTGAGCATCTTAATCGCGGCCAGAAGAGCCGAAGTCTCTCAGTGTGCTTGCTACGGCATAGTGCACTGCGTTCCTCTTTTAGCGAAGTTGTAGGGCTCTCTCCCAATCAAGCTGTCGGTTTGCGTTCATTTACGTCTTCGGTGAGCAGTTGTTTGGCTTCCCGATGTGGTATATACTTGGAAGCATCGCAACTATAAGTAGGCTATGTATGTTTCGTGTTCTCATATGTAAAGTCTCGGTCATAGCATGAATATTGCGAAACATATGAAAGCACAAGGCTGATCACCCTCACTCCCTCAGGCCTCAGGCCTCAGGAATGATGATCTACTCCAAAGAATGGAGCGAGCCACAAAGCGTCTATTTGAAATTTTCCAGCGTCCCGTAACCTCACCGTAAACCGCTAAAACAGGGAAGATTAGTGTCAAATAACTCACTAGCATACTTATCGCTTGCGGGAGTACGGATTGGTTTTAGTGACCAGTCCATCAAGGGTGACGGAATTATGTTCGATGGCGGACGCATTTTACGGCGGTGTCTGCATCTAGGCTGGGTCATCTCCGGGACCAGTGTGTAATAATGATGACCCCAGGGTTTATAGACTGCGGTAGGCAAAACCTGCAATTCGTATTAGGTGGCTCGGAACCAACGTAGTTAGGAGTCCAGGACGCGGGCCTATCATAAGCTTGGGAGGGACGTAGATATGTAGCCGCTGGTCATCATGCTGTTCCAATATTGACACGCTGAGTCTGCACGAGTTCTCCTATCAGGGCGTAAGCGAGGTGCACTATGCCTTTCGCAGATAAGTGTAGTGATAGTGGCAATAGACAAGGATTAGGCACATATGACGAAGTGAAGGTCCAGGCTGTTTCAAATACCTTGAGAGATAACCCAAACTGCTCGATGTAGCACGCGTTTGGGTTAAGTGCTTGATAGAGTCTACATGTAGTAGCTGTTTGCAGATCGGCAACTTCAAGTTGGACAATTACAATAGGCCATTAATCGCCGAACAGCCCACGAGCACCGGCGTACGCGGGTTGTAGATTTTCGTTGAATGACGATATATGACCCGTAGCAGTGCCTTTAAAGTGTAAAAGTATGATCAATTGGCAGCGGCGACTACATTAGCAATATGCATGGTATTGGGGAGCTTGTGAAGGTATAACACCTTGGAGAGGTGCCAGGCACGCGAGCACTGTCAAAATGAAACGTTGCTGAAAATGACAAGTGGGTTGCAGCGTGTGGGTGCCCTGTGTGCCTCAGGGCTAGCGGCAAGATTGAAATGAGGAAGTTGATCGAAAGCTGGGTCACTGGCCGAAACATACTGGCGATGAATCTATGGACTATTAATCGTCTTAAGATAAATACTCATACTACAAAGTACCGTGGGGGGTAGAGTAGTAGATTGAGCGGTCGGAAGGCAACGGAATTTAGGGCAGGATATCCAAAAATGGAAGTGGTTGGGGCAGAAAATAAAATTAAAATGTGAAAAACACAAAAAAATATTAACCAGGAACATGGGAAGGTTGATGTGCCTGAGAAATGTGATTGGTTTAGTGGTGATCCTCTAGTAGCGGACCACTTTCAGTCCTCCCACAAGTCCTTTCCCTCCAAGTCCCCCTTCCCTTGTTTCAGATACCCTCATATATCCCCCCCCGTCGTCCTGCTCATCGTTGCCCACGACGCCGAGCAATTCATTGACGACATTCATAAGATACCTTCATTGGTGTTCAAAGGTCCGGTCCTCTTCTGACTGATGTCCGGCAGACCAACATCTTCAGCCGGGGGCTCTCGCCCTTTCACAGCCTCAGCTTTCCGTACATCTTCAGCCCGTCCTCCGACTTCTGCAGGCGCATTTAACCGTGAACACCAATATACCTATGATAATGCTTATATCGAGGAAGAAGAGGAAGAGGAAAGCGACACAGAGGACCTTTTTGCGTTTCTGCCTCCTTCAACCGCAGACCAACAGCGAGACCTAGAGAAGCAGCGTGCAGCTGATTTATCCCGAATATCTCCAGACTACACAAATATTTTCGCGAACACGGTCCCATCAGACGTCCCCCCGCTTATATATCCGGCGCCGACCTTTGACCCCTGGGCTCGTTTCTCCTCTGAAACGGCCGGCCCCTCCCGTCTCTTCCCTGTACCCATATCTCAGGTTCCGGTAGAAAGCCCTCCCTCTACCGCGTCAAACCAAGGTGCAAGCGACCCGTATCGCATGCGTCGACTAAGCACAGCCATTTCGAGTACAACCAATACCCACCCTTCGAGACATAGTGCCCCAAACTCTCGACAAATACGCATCAGCCTAACCTCCAACCCACACGATAAACACGTCGAGGAGGATCTTCGTAACAGTTCACAGAGGACACGACATCCTTCATCAACACTGGGGGATTCAACAACTCTGAGCATAACACCTAGTATGCTGGAACAAGACAGTCGCGATGGTTCAATTAAGTGGGTTTTTTGTGTTTGTACGGCAAACTTCTCAACATTCTGTATTTCGACGTGACACAGGATGGAGTTTGATTTTGACGCCGTGAATGAAGAAGACAGTCCATTCCCTGAAGTTCGTGCATCTGTCTCGAACATCGATGACCCAGAAATGCCCGCTATGACGCTGCGGATGTGGTTAATCGGTCTGGTTTTTTGTATGACCGCTAGGTGAGCTTTTTTTAGAGTATCATTCTTACTTGTAGTCTCATGGTTTCAAGTGCAATGAATCTTTTCTTTAACTTCCGGCAACCTGCCCCGAGTGTCTCTCCTCTTGTTCTTTTGCTCGTATGCTATCCCATTGGAAAATTCTTCGCCTTTGTCCTCCCCATCACGACTTATCGTCTCCCACGGTATCTCGGCGGTTATGAGTTTTCACTCAATCCTGGACCATGGAATATTAAGGAGCATGTTTTGGTGTACATCATGGCAAACGTTGCTATTAGCGCACCTTACGCTATCAACGCCATTGTGGTCACTCAGCTCAACTACGGCATTCCAGTGGATTACTGGTTCAGTGTACTCCTGGTTGTTGCCACACAACTTACAGGGTTCGGTCTTGCAGGGATGTGCAGACGCTTTTTGGTTTCGCCTGCGAGCATGGTTTGGCCACAGAACCTGGTAACGTGTACTTTATTGAACACGCTTCACGCGGAGGACGATGAAGAACCAGGATCAATTACACGATACAGATACTTCCTTCTTGTCCTCGGCGGCGCGTTCTTCTTCTTCTTCATTCCTGGTAAAGAGTTTTTCCGAAGCTTAATCTGGGTTGACTTTGATGGGCTTTTAGGCTACCTCTTCAGTGCTCTCTCGGTCTTTTCTTGGATGTGTTGGATACTACCGGATAACATTCCAGTTAATCAACTATTTGGCGTCGACTCGGGGTTAGGCATGACCATAGTGACATTTGACTGGACACAAATCTCGTGGATTGGCAGTCCATTGATGTATCCATGGTGGGCTGAAGTGCACATCTTCTTTGGCTTCGTTCTTTTCTTCTGGATCATCACACCGATATTATACTATACCAACGTAAGTCCCTCCAGCCCTCAGCCCCTACCTTCTAGCCTTCGTTTCTGACTTTGTCACAGACGTGGGATCTCGCCTACTTCCCCTTGAACGACAGCAATCCATATGATCGCTACGGTAACGTGTACAATGTGTCGGCTGTGTTGTCTGCCTCCAACCGCTTCAATCTTACTGCCTACGAGAACTATTCTCCGCTTTATCTTCCCGCGACTTATGCGATGACCTACATGCTTGCATTCGCCCTATCGACTTGCGTGCTCGTGCACACGATCCTTTACCATGGTCGAAGTTTACTGAACGGGGTGAAGAAGATTCGCGTAGAGCAGGATGACATCCACGCGAAGCTCATGCGCAACTACCCTGAAGTGCCAGATTGGTGGTATCTCGTGTGCTTCTTCGGCTTTTTCCTCCTCATGGTAGTAGTCGTTGAGGTAAGCGCACTCCCCTTTTACATGCTGAATTTTGTTCATCGGCTGTTTACAGGTGTGGCATACGACAGTACCTGTGTGGGCCTTGCTATTGTCCGTGGCATTACCAACTCTATATGTCTTGCCGTCCGGCTTCATTTTCGCAATGACTGGGCAAGGGGTATGCATGCTTCCGCGCTGCATTCGAGAATAGCAATGCTGACATCCGATCTGTACAGATCACGCTGAATCTGCTTGCGCAGATCATTCCAGGGACTTTAATGGCAGGCGACCCTGTTGCGAACATGGTACGTGGTCGAACTGTAGCACTTTGCGAGGAGTTTGACGTTGTCATCCAAATTTGTCACAGATCTTCAAGGCATACTCCGTTCAGACATTGACGGAATCTACGTCATTCGTACAGGATCTCAAGCTTGGTCATTACATAAAGGTTCCTCCACGAGCCACGTTCCTTGGTAAGCAGTGCTTTTTTGATTGTCACTCGATCGCCTGACCAAGGGCGTTCCCTGCAGTGCAATTCGTGGGCACGTTGTTGGCATCATTCATCCAGATCGGTGTCAAGCAGTGGATGTTCAACAACATTCCGGACATCTGCACCCCAAATCAACCTAGTTTCTTGACGTGTCCGCACAATGAAGTGTACTACACTGCATCAGCAGTCTGGTACGCCTGTCTTTCATTTCAGTCGCTCTTGTCTTTTCTCAATGATACATGTCTGTAGGGGAATTATCGGACCCACGCGGCAGTTCGGAAAAGGGACTCTCTACTATCCGGAGTTGTATGCCATCATTGTCGGTGCTATCCTACCCGTTCCTTTCTGGCTGTGGCAACGGCAGTACCCGAACTCATGGGTCAGATTTGTGAGCACGCCTGTGGTGCTCAACGGCGTCTCGTATATACCGCCTGCGGCTGGCATCAACTATTCTGCCTGGTTCGCAGTCGGGTTTGTATTTCAATATCTAATAAGAAAACGCAACTTTGCATGGTGGAGTAAATTCAACTATGTGACTAGTGCAGCTTTGGACAGCGGTATGTGGCTGCCTTGCTTTGCTTTATTTTATTTGCTAACGGTAGATTATAGGCACTGTTTTGTCATTGGTTGTAATATTTTTCACCTTACAAGTACGTTCCCTTCTGCTCATCGTGTCTAACATTTATTAAACATTGCCTACAGTTCCCAAAAGGTGGCCTCAATCTCAACTGGTGGGGAAACACCGTCTACAAAGAAAGTGCGTTTTTATGCTAGTCCGATCGATCGGTCTGTCTCAAAATGCGTTTTTCTTCTTTCCAGCCGCGGATTGGACCCGTCTGGCACTGAAAGCTATCCCATCCAATGGCATACCTCTAGAATAATGTATTTAGCAATCTGCAACAATATGACTTCATCTAGGACCCAATGCAACAGCGGATGTGATTGGTGCTTTACGTCGATCTCAATCCTAATGAAACAGGCGATGCAACAGGCGTTATCGAGGCGAATAGCGGCCTTCGATATATTGGTTCATGAAAACAGACACTAAATTAGATCTAGACCCGCCACACCACGATGGAAGAGAAGCACACTGCGTGCTAATGATAAACGCTCAGGGAACTCGTGCACGCGCCGAGAAGCACATTTCCAAAGCAACCCACTTTTAGCAAGATGGAGAGCCGAGGGACACCTAAAATATGAGCTGTGCAAGGATGCGGGTCCGAAGGAAATGTACTATCTGACTATGCACGTTCTTAGTAAGTAATGGTCAGGAGACAACATACTGTAATTATTCTGGCACTGAATACTGAATAATGACACGTGTGGGAGTGGGGACGCATGGGTCATGTATGACACCCTGAAGTGAAATTGCACAGGATGATGATCGCGGCGGGAATCTAACCTCCCCGTCCACGCCCTCGTCCACGTTGTCCGCTACCTCTTGAACCTCCACGGCCTGAGCACAATCAATTAGGACCGATATGGTATGGTGAAGCAAAATGAACAGACCTCCTCTTGATGGAGTACCTCGGCCTGTGTGGAAATTACAGACAGCATATCGATATCCCGTGAAAACGGCGTGTGGTGCAAAGATAATAGACACAAGCGAACGAACGATCATGATTAGCGTGCCGAACCTGAAACTGCAAGGCGATTAGCTCAGACGCACCTCCTCGCATTCCTGGACCTCCTCCTCCCCGCGCACTTCGGCCAGCTTCTCGTGCTCGGGTTTGTTCCTCTTTTACAGTGTCTAACAACGTGTCCGGTACACGCAGGTATTTTATCTTAGGGTTGTTCAGCTGTGTTGAGGTTATCAAGAAGCATGGCTAGACGCACGGTGCTGCCGCGGATATAGCATTCCTTCAACTTCCAGAATCTATCCCCGTCTGCGCTTGTTTGGTACACCTCCCGTAGTGTTATGTTCATGAAATTATCGCAATTGACGAGGTGGCCGTTGAATGTTTCGCCATTTTTCAACTCTACAAGCTATGATCGTTGGATCAGATAGAAAAAAGAACGGATAGTGAGCCTTGTTTTGTCAGATGGATGCACGAGACCGTACCATAGGTTTGTTTTGGGCTGCAGTCAGCAGTGATAGAGGCAACTACACATTGAGAGAATCCATGAGCAAATGTACACAGATTAGAAATGTATATACCATCTTGTTATATGGCAAGAATTTTATCACTTCTTGAGTCGTGCTCGATAGTCGCGTCGAAAGATGTTGTAGTATGAGACACTAAATACCATCTGTGGCTGTGCCACACACTCCATTCAGACTTCGAACATATGGACATAGAACGCAAGGATACCGATACAAGTACATAAGCAAGGTGATATACTCCAAGCTCAAATCACTAATTCCGCACGACCATTCGATGTTTTGACCGTAACATACCCTCCGCTCTCTTTGTTCTCCGAGTTGCCCCAGTGGGCAGACCCTCGGAGGCGATATCGCTCTCGTCTCTGAGTCACCTCCCTGCGACGTCCCTGTCCAGAAGGATCCTCAACAGGTAGCTCCTTGAGCGTGGCTGCTGCGTTAGAAGTCTGTAGGTCAAATGAGCCTTCGAAAGTGCTGTGTAACTTGACGCTCATTGCCGCGTTAGAAGAGTGGGTTTCCGACTTGAGAATCGAGTTGACAGGCATGTCGGTATATTCAAGGGCGACGCGCCCATTTGAAGTACGCGTTTCGACGTTAAAGATACCGCCGTGACCAGAGTCTGTGACGAGATCAACATTGGCATCAATTTTACTGGAACAGGAGGTCAGATGGTGGAACCGAAATAGGACGCAAGGTATATACCCGTTACTTGTTGTCATCTTGAGCTCACTGACACTTCCATCCTCTCGGTTGAGGAGTGAAACAGACGCATCGATGGGGGCATTTGAAGTTATGAGCTTGAGAGAAGAGGCACTATTGAAATGCCCTCTGATGGCGCCATTGCTAGAGTGGATTGAACCATTTTCAGCGGTGACAGACTGATTGGTAGATAGGTAAGCCATTTTAATGATTCAAGAAACCAAAACAACCAACCTTTGCATACACACGGGCATTTGATGTTCTGAGTGACATTCTATCGAAGGAAATGGTGTTCCAAACATCTGCGATATCTTGACTATAATTGGATGTCTCCGTCTCGAATGATTTGATGTGCAGAGGATCTCCATTTTTCCCGGCGGGAAATGTGATCGTCACCTCAAATCCTAGCTGTTGTCCACTGCCAGGGAAGTACGAGAATGTGGGCGTCTACAGGAATTCATTGAAACGAAGGTTCAGCGAATGAGGATTGAAGTATTTACAAAGATGCCAACACCATTCTCATTCTTCCTTCGTTCAAGATGGCAGACATTGACGCGGTCCAGCGCTTCACGAGAGTTATAGCCAACCCGTACTTGGACACTGACTGTATCTGTCGGTTGAGTGGACTGCACGATATCAACACGACCTGATTGCTGAGAGCCCCTCGTGAACAAGTAGAGTGCATCAGAGTCAACGGGGAGCTCTAGGAATGCTTCGGCGCTATGGGGAAAGTGGTTCAAGATTTGGTCGGACAATTTCCAGTTGGAGCCACTGATGCATTGGTGGATGGTGCCATCCTGTGAGCCAGGATGAGGTGGCTCGCCGTTCCAGGACTTATCAGATACGTGAGCCAAAGGCGTACCCCTGATTGAGAGAAATGACATACGAGTCGAAATCCATGATTGAAGGCCATTTCAGTGGAAGATTTGGTGAACGCAGCGATGAGGAACCAAATGAGTATAGCAACACCAAATGCTTTCCAGAAACGTTGTGCGGGTGACTCGCGATATACGACTACCACCACGTCTGTTATGGGTTGATAAGATGTCTGGGAAGTATATGGAGGGGGTGGCGATGGCCCTGGAGTACTTGAGCCCTCGTGGAGTCCTGCCCTCTGATTGTTGCCTTTATTGTGCGTGCCTTGTGGGCTCGTTTCAACAATTATCATGCTGGTGCTTGTTTCAGATCCACACACCCGTCGCTAGTAGTTCCTTTGAGGTGCTGTAATTGAAATTTGAACTAGCAGTTGGCCAGGCGCCTTATAATTATAAGGGTATGAGTCATGCTGCGATAGCTGCGCAGTCCAACCGCAGTGCCACTCGCGCGTGACCGGTACCTGACCTAACAACCCATCTGGCAGTATACAACTTTTCGCAGCACTAATGTCACGGTGTAGCACGAGCTCGAGGCTACTGATAACTTGCTCCTGGGACACCGACGTCAAGCTTGGCTGGATAGAATTTCGGATCATACTAGATATTCCCACCCACAATATTAATCCTTGTCTTCAAGTTGAATCTCCGAGCCTTAGTAGGCGTGTCGCTGATCGTGCGAGCCGCTGATCTTGTTTGCTGCATTACTGTCTTTTGGTCACATTCACTATAGAAATACCGCGCAAGGCCGTAAGTTTCCAGCTGGATTGTACTGAAATTTATCCGTCTGTAGTCCTTGCCAGACCTATGGAAAAGCAACCTAGTCGCTCCTTCTACAGAGCTGCTTGAAGTGCCTTCTTTGCAGGCGCACCAGTTAATGACTCTCGGGGTTGACCAGGACTCGTGCTGCGCGGTCCGGCTCATGCCAGTGGCGGCTGCGATCAATTGATTGTGGCCGTGGGAGCTGCCATGTCAGTGACAAGGAACTTGGGTACCATAACATTGCGGCATCCTGTTCTCACGGTGTTTCTCCTCCAGTTCCATGCATCCCGGTTTCTGTCGATGATGGCAATCATTCTATAGCATAGCTCTACTGCATCAGGCAAACGTAATTCACTACAGAGTGCTACAGAACGCTCTGTGGCACTCCGTGGCACAATCCAACCCGCCTTACCATTACAGTACCGTAGGTCAGGCCTCTCAGGTATAACATGTGATTTCGACTTACTAATCATCAGGTCGCACTCAGGCTGTTATCTAGTCTCAACTGGGCCTCCCAACTATCCCAACAATATGGCTGCTCCAGTTGTTCCCAGTAGCTTTCAGATTTACAAGTACGTTTGATGGTTCGAATCTTGCACACTGAAACGCATGCAATGAATTGCTACAGCTCATACGTCGAAGATCCTAAATGGCAAATCAAATTCACCATAATTTGGTGCTCTGGCTTAGCGCTGGCTGTGGCTGTCTCTGTTCCGAGTTTGATTCTTGGTTTGAGACATGGGCGTTCCCTCAAGGGAATCGCTGGAATCTCAGAGATCAATGGATATCAGCCCGCCCATTCCGATGGCAAGGAGCCACCGCCTACCCGTCAAAGACGTCCTAGGTTGGTTGGAGCTTGGAATGCTCTTATCTCACCGACATATTGGTCTCCTCCGAAGCTCGGGCTCAATCTCGGACAGAGTGCGTATCGAGGGTGTCATGTTATTACTCATAGGAAATACTAACACATTGTAATACCCAGTCATAGTCTTATCGGCGTACCTCGCAGCTGTACTCGTCTGCATCACAAAGGATGCACCTCTTATTTCTAATCCGAACAGAGCGGGCGAGTTAGTCAATCCGTTCACGCACGAGAGGAACTTATTTGGGCCACTTAGGATTTCTCGCTCTTGCACAGTTTCCGGTCGTTTTTTTGTTCGCAACAAAAAACTCAATTCTGTCCTTATTGTTAGGACCAGGGAATGGCTACGAGAAACTCAACTTCGTGCATAGGATGGCGGGAAGAGCCATGTTCCTCGGTGGATGCATTCATGGGTCCCTGTGGATTCGCAACCATTTACAATATGGACTTGCAATTCTTGGTCCGCAGAAAGAGACTTCGGGAGTGGCTTCGCTGGCCCTCCTCTGCATCATCGTCCTTACGTCTTTGAGGCCAGTCAGGAGACTGTTTTATCAGTGTTTCTTCGCCGTCCAGTAAGTTTTGTTGCCTCGCGTCGCCCAACAGCTAACATTTCTTGAAGCGTGTTGACATACGTGGCATTCTTTGTCACCATATGCTACCATACGTTGTATGCATCGCCATGGATATTCCCTCCCCTTGCATTTTACGGTGCAGATGTTTTATTGCGCCTATTCCGTTATCGAATCAAGGATGCCACCCTCACTGCGCAGGACGCTCACATGACTTTGGTATAGTATTCGAACGTTATTCGATGCACTATCGACTTGATATTTCACAGATCCGCGTTCATAATTGCGACGATGGCTGGCTTTCTGGCCAGCATGTCAGATTGCGCGTTTTCTTTTCCAACAGAGTTTTTGAATCCCATCCATTCACTATCCTCTCGGCATCGCCGTCCCATTCTTGCCTCTCCTCACCCGGGTTCCTTCTCGCTGCACGAAGCGATGGAGACTGGACGCGGGCATTGAATGACTACACCCGACAGCAACAAGAACGTTTACAAATCAATGAGAAGTCTTCGGGCGACTCGGGTGCTTTCGTTCAAGTCATGCTGGATGGTCCTTATGGAGGGTCGAGTGTCGATCTGGGTCTGTACGAAAGCGTGTTTCTTGTAGCCGGCGGGTCTGGGGTCACATTCACTCTTGGTCTGCTGGACGACATCGTCGGCAGGTGTGTTAAACTAGGCCGCAGTCAGGAGGAACGAACGAGGAGAATTGAGTTCACCTGGTCCATTGGATCATTCGGTATCTCATTTTTGCCTATAGGCGTTACATCCATCATTCTGATCTATTTGCACAGGTCAGATAGAATGGTTTGCTCCGATGCTGATAGATATTGCTACGGCAGCGTCTAATAGCACGATCGACCTGCACATTTCTATTTTCGTAACGTGCCTTTGCGTTCCAGAAGCGGTACCTGATATCCCTAACTCCATCGTCACACTCTCGCGTCCATCTATTCAGAATATTCTCAAGGATTTCATCAGTGTTCCGCCATCGTCTGAAAAGGAAGATTCAATCGAAACCCGATGTGAAGACAGCCAGAAATTGATGGGCTTGGGTGGAGGAGTCGCGGTTTGCGCTAGCGGCCCAGAGAGCTTGACGAGAGACGCGCAGAATGCAGTCGCGAGATTGGGTTTGACAATGGGAATGGCAGCGGGCGGGATAGCTCTACATACAGAGCTGTTTACTTTGTAACGCTGAGGTAGATGTCATCTCATACTGGCGTTTTTCAAGGATGTTGCATTT